AACCACTTGAGTTTTTGTTCATTGCATATTTCCCTTAAATCAACTCAAATTTTAAATCTACATTTAATATCTGTGAAATTGTTCATTTATATATGGGCTGCTTGCCTTTTCTAATATGTAATCATATGTAATTTTTTTTTTTTAAAGTTTTCAATTTTTTTTTTTTAAGATTTTTTTTTTTAAGATTTATTTATTTATTTATGCAAGCAGTGGTTACAGTCAGAAGCACGAGAGGGTGAGAGAATTCACCAGAGCCAGAGCAGGGAGCAGAGCAGGCAGACTGAAGTACACTGCTGAGGAGAGCAGCGGGCGGCAGGAGAGGTCTGTGCGCCATGTGGGACCCTCACCCGGCGACTGGGGATCGAACTGGTGCAGCAGAGGCTGCGGGCAGCTTCGCAACCCAGCGCTCAACCGCTGCGCCACTGAGGAGGCCCTCATATGTAATTTTTAAAATCATTCATGTGCCATTAAAAATCGTTTCATTTACTTCCCTGACTCACAAAGAATTGTTGGAAAAATACTTAAGTTCAGAACATTTTTTAAGATAAACTATATTTTTCTAAACAGGTTTAGATTTACCCCAAAATTGGTAAAAATAGTATAGGAAGTTCTCATAAACACTGCTGAGAGCTCCAGTTTCTCCTATTAGTAATATCTAACATTCTTTTGTACTGTTCTTCCTTCTCCCTCTTAGATTCCTTTGCTCTAACAAAGGTCATATACATGAGAAGAGAAACAAGAGCTGTCAATTATTAGAGAGAGAAGTGCTCTTAATTTAAAGAACTTGCCCAATCCTCCCCAGGCTAATTTTCACAGAGTACTAGGTTTTCTGAATTCATTTGCACCTCACTCAAGGTTGAATATCTCTTAACCCAGCCAGTTTTCTCCATTTATTAGTAACAAATGGGCATGTGTGAAGGTTAAGAAACACCTGTGAGTGGCTGCAGCCTTGGTGGACTTAGTGACAGGTTGGCCAGGGCTCAGCCCCACAGGGCCTCTCAAATACTCACTGAGGTTTGAATGGAAACTGAGCTGAAAGGACTCCAGAGAATTAGCTCATCCTCTTTTTTACAAATGGGGCAACTGAGGCCCAGAGGGGTAGAAAGACCTATTCAGGACCACCCCATGAGTTGGTGACAAAACTTGAGGCTTGGCTACCCAGCCACAACTCCTGTGTCTCAGAAGCCTGGTAAGGAGGGTTCTATGCTAGGGGTCACAGAACCCAGCTTAGAAATGGCAGATTTCCAAAGAAAGTGGAACCGGCCCCAAACAGTCACTTTAGCCAAAGTCTGTCTGAGATCACTGGGTTGTACCTGAGGAATGACAAAAATATGTCAAGTTACCTGCACAACCTGGAGCGCCCTTCACTGTGAAGGTTTCCAGATATGACATTAGTACCTGGTATTGATGATCCGGCCCTTTTATGCCCTGGTGCCCTTTAGCTCTACTCAAGTTGCTTCTCTTCTAGAAACCAAATTCAGAATTATCTCCAAGGCTGCTTTGTGTAGCTGTAACGATTTAGTAAGGAGGGAAGCCCAAACTAAATGCCCAATCCTAAAGCTCTAGGTCCTAATCTTGATTTTTTACCCCCTGAGTACAGGTGGGAAATTTTTAATGAAACACTAATGACTAATGACAGATCTTATATCTCTCTCACCTTAAATGTGACTTGAAAATGTCAAAACTTTCTACAGGAAGTCAGAAGCCATTTACCACTCTTGAGGGTAGGTTTAGGGCAACAGGGAGGGGACTCTGCCCTGGAGGAACTCACAGGTCAGAGGATTAACGGTCCAACCCATATCAGAAGCATTGTGTGACAACCCAAGTTCACATCCTCTGCAAAAGGTTCCCAGATTTCCTAGGGAGGATTTGAAGATCCCAATCTTTGGGTCTCATGGAACTTGATCCCTCTACAGAATTTTACTCTGTTTCTGTGGTCTCTTGTGAGAATTGCTACCTCTTTGAACAGCGAACTCCTGGATGGCAGGAGCTGTGTTTTATTCAACTCATTCCCAATGCCTGGTATAAGTAAGTGATCGCCCAGGCCCTTTTATGGGGAGATATGGGCAGTGTCCAAGAAAAACACAGAGTAGAAAGAAAAATGCCATGTGATACAATGTAGTTCGTTGAGCTTGAGGGTCTTAGGTAGCTTCACAGAGAAAAGGGCATCCGGACTGGGGTTTGGAAGACAAAGTAGGAGTTTCTGGAAGCCATTTTGGCATGGCTTTTAAGGTGACTGTGAATGTCTGTCCTGTCTACATTGTGTGAGCCCTTTGCCTGCACCCGGCATGCTTCATCTGAAGAACACACATCTTCAGCTAGTCTGCATGTTTCACTTAGATAAGTGTTTAACTCAGGGTCAGTCCTTAGTTATAGGTTAATTTCTAGCTGTGTGTGTTAATGTTAAAAACACAGGAATGGTAAGAGGGGTATTTCTTGTTGAAACTGTTTCAAGCAAGCTTTGTAGGAATTCCAAGGAATGTGTGGGAACCGAGAAGTCATGTTGATCCATGTACTTATACTCTGTGGAGAATAAGCCTAGAACTTAGGCAAGAGGGGTGTCATCTATGTGAGTTGTAGTCTATGTGAGTGTAGAATGTGATGTTCCATTTCCTGTAAGGGCATTGTTGCAACCTGACCCCCAATCCCCTTTTCTTTAGCATGTATTTTCTAGCAATTGGTAAACCTTACTAATTATATTAGTTATCATCTGATCCTCTCTGCTAGAATGTAAACTCCATGAAGGCAGGCAGGGATCTTTGCTTTGTCATTGATATATCTCAGGTACCTAGAACAGTGTCTAGCATATGGTAGATTCTCCTAAATGAGTGCATTATTATATGAATGAGTATGGTGAATGAATGACCAGATCCTTCTACCCTAGACCTGAGCCCAGGTAAAGGGAAAGAGTAGTCCTAAGAAAAATGGGACTTGGGGTTGGAGGGCCACTGGCTTCTCACCCAGAGAGCCAGCTGCCTCCTTTCCAGTGTCTGGACTGGATGATCCCCCAGGGATGTCAGGAACATACCTAAGTTATAGAAAAGGCAATGCCCAGAGAACACCTGAGGCATTTAAGTGACAGTTTTTAAATATGTTCTTCATCAAAGGAGGTAGTTGTGGTGTAGTCCTAAGAGCACTGTCAGTAGACTTGGTTCCAAATCCAGGATATGTCCATTTATAGCCATGTGGTTTAGCGTCCATCATTAGCCCTCCCTGAGCCTCAACTTCCTCACTCATAAAACGGGGCTAGTGGCCCACTTCTTCACAGCTTCCCTAGCACTGCATCCCCTGATAGGCAGGAGGCCCTGGAGTGGGCCTGCCGGGACCCTCTGAAAGGCGGCGGTGTGGGTGGGTTCCATGCGGCTGTTTCCAAGCCAGCCTGCGCTCTCCCCAGGAAAAGATCCAACAACGCCCCATGAGTTTTGTTAGGGAGGATTGTGCAGCAGTACCCCCCCTTCCAAACCCAAATCCCCAGTAAGTCAGAAAGATGTATGTGTTTTAAAACATTGGGAGGTCTGCTTTGGATCACCCTGGAGCTGTGGCTTCCCTGAGCAGCTGAGAAGGAAAGGGAAGCACTCGGCGTTCTTGCCCCACACAGGGACTGCCTTCACGTGGCTTTGGCGGCCGTTGACTTTTAAATCATAAAAAGCCGCTCTATATACAGTTTACTCTGTTGCTAGAAGGCAGCGAAACATAGGTATTAAAAAAAAAAAAAAAAAGCAGAAGAAGCAGCCGTTAATCCCGCCAGGCTTCTGGGCACTGGAGCAGTTGCGGATGACAAAAGTTAATTAGAAACATGAGCAGTTTAACAGAAAACACTTGTGACAATTGGAAGGGCCGCCTCTCCGGTTGGAGAATTCTTAGGGAGACGTTGCGGGAGAAAGTGACTGCTGCTAGGTAAGTTGAGTCATTGTGACTTTGCAGATGCGCGCATCGGGGGCACGACCTGTCTGTTCCACCCGCTGGGTGGGCACGGGGTGGGCGTGGGTGGGTAGGCGCGGGTGGGCACGGGGCTCAGCTGCGACCCCCATCCCTCCAGCCCCTCCACTTTCGTCCTGACAGCTTCCCTCACTCAGGACAGGGCGCAGAGGGCGCTGCGTGGCCAAGGGCTGCCTCCGGGAGGGCGCTGCGAGTTTTCATTTCTGCGATACGGTCCGGCCGCCTTGGTGGCTAGCAGAACTCCAGTTTGAAACCTGCCCTTCCCAGAATAATTCCGGTTGTAGTTTCGAAATACTTTGAGGCTTTTCTGAGAAAAGAATCTGGCTGGGGAAACACTCGCTGAGCGCCAAGGGGAAGCCTTGACTTTCAGATAACCTACGTGTTTTCTTGCCCACGGTGAAGCCAGTGTGCAGTTCAAACTCTAAAGCTAGACGGTCTTATTTTTTTTTTTTTGAAGTCCATGTTTGTAGCTCTTTGAAATTACCAACACAGGATACTTCATGTGCTGTGATAAGACTTAGCAACCTTGGTGGGTGATCATTCTCCTCTAAAGATTATATTTGGTTTCTCTTCTTTTTCTGTCTTTTTTTTGGGGGGGGGGTTGTTCTGTTTTAATGTCTCTGCTCCATTGTTTTCTTAAAGGTGGATATTTTTTGATTCTTCTGTACAGCTGGTAAATGGGGATGTGGGTTGAATAATGCAAAGTAGTAGATGTTTCCTGTATCTTTCTCTATCACCACAGTGGTGTGAATTTTTGTTTGTTTTCCATCAATGTATATGTTTAATTGCAGCTTGTACATGTGTGCATGTGTGCAGCTCGGCTTGCAGTTTCATAGCATGCACCAAAATGTGGTGGGGGAGTGTGACCTGTGCATAGTATGGAGAGGGGGACCTGGAGGTGGGGTTTCAAATGGAACCACAGGTCATGTACACAGTGGGTTATGGAGCTACAGGGCACTTGCACTGGGAGCGCTGGGCTGTGTACCGAGGTGGCGCTTCCCCTCATCTTCAGTGCAGCCTTAGATGTCATTCAGGTCTCTTTCTCTTCCCCATCTCTGCAGAGCTATTGGCCAGCCCAGCCTCCTCCCACCCCGGAATGAGCGAGAATGTCCCAGCTCCCCTGGAGAGCTGCAGCACCTCCCCGGCTGCTAACTGCAGCGCCTCCTCGTCCATCCCCCAGCCCGGTGCCGCCTCCAAGCCCTGGCGCAGCAAGTCCATCAGCGTGAAGCACAGCGCCACCTCGTCCATGCTCTCGGTCAAGCAGCCGGTGCCCGAGGGCCCCAGGCCCACCCCTGAAGCCATGAAGCCCGCCCCCAACAATCAGAAGTCCATGCTGGAAAAGCTTAAACTTTTCAACAGTAAAGGGGGCTCCAAGGCGGGTGAGGGCCCAGGGTCCCGGGACACGAGCTGCGAGCGGCTGGAGATCCTGCCCAGCTTTGAGGAGAGTGAAGAAATGGAGGCCACCAGCCGCTCGCTGTCCACTCCGGGCCCCGCATCCAACAGCCCCAAGATCGCACTCAAGGGCATTGCCCAGAGAACTTTTAGCCGGGCACTGACCAACAAGAAGAGTTCTCCGAAAGGCAGTGAGAAGGAAAAGGAGAAACAGCAGCGGGAGAAAGAAAAGGAGAAAAGCAAGGATCTGGCCAAGAGAGCCTCCGTGACAGAGAGGCCGGACCTCAGAGAGGGGCCAAAGGAAGACCCCAGCGGGGCAACGGTGACAGAGATGCCAAAAAAGTCCTCCAAGATTGCCAGCTTCATCCCCAAAGGGGGGAAGCTCAACAGTGCCAAGAAGGAGGCCCCTGCCCCTTCCCACAGTGGAATACCAAAACCAGGAATGAAGAGTGTGCCCACGAAATCCCCAAGTGCCCCAGTTCCCTCCAAAGAGGGGGAGCGGAGCCGGGGTGGGAAGCCAAGCTCAGGGCTCCCCCAGCAGAAGCCCCAACTTGATGGCAGACACTCCAGTTCCTCCTCCAGCCTGGCATCCTCGGAAGGGAAAGGCCCAGGAGGGACCAGCCTGAACCACAGCATCAGCAGCCAGACTGTCAGTGGGTTCGTGGGGACCACCCAGACCACAGGAAGCAATACTGTCAGTGTCCAGCTACCTCAGCCCCAGCAGCAATACAGCCACCCCAACACTGCCACGGTCGCGCCTTTCCTGTACAGGTAAGAGCTCCTCCCCACCTGCCATTCCTGGCCAAAGAAACTTTCTAGTGAGTCCTCATAGGTCCTATGAGGGCAGGAATCAGGAACATTAAGCTAACAGCTTAGCTACCCCCATCAGTTTGCAGGAGAGATGTGCACCGTGTGTTCTAGGACGCAGTGAATACAAGGGCTTAGGAGGAGAGTCAGAGAAAACTGGAAGAGGAAGTAAAATTGGAGCTGACCCAGGATTAGTAGTTCATCAGGCGTGTGGAGACCCAAAGGCATTTCAGAAGCAGCTGGTAGCATGAGCAGATGTCTAAAGGGTAGTGGTAGGGTGTCCTCTGCGGCTCCCCTATTAGTCCTAACTTCCTGAGCCTACTTTAAAAGATGAAAAACACAAAACCACCTTGCTGAATAGCTGAGACTTCTGTGTCTGCCTTGGACTTCCAGGCCCTCACTTTTCATACCACATCCCACGCGTTACGTGTTGTTTCAGTCCCTGATTGTGTGCTGGGTTTTGGAAGGGAGAGAGAGAGATGAGGGAGAAAGGGTAGTGGTAATGAGGAACCAGTTCTCGAAGAACAAAAGAATGTTGTATGGAGCAGACACGCCTGGGTGTTTGTGTCTGACTCCGTCGTCCTGTCTGTCATCTGTCTCTCAGTCTCACCCGCTCTGTGGGCAGAGGGGACCATGTGGAGCCAGGAGCTGCTGGCTCTGTGTAGTTCTGGAGCTCAGCCTGCCCCACAAACCTCTGTGGCATGGAGGACACAGGCTCCGATTGCTACTGGATGCATGAGGATGAGCCCTTTCCAGGCAGCTGGGAGCTCCCCCTACTCATTGCTCTGGAGGGCATCCCAGAGCTTTGCACACAGCAGTCAGTTTGAGCCTGTGCCACCAGCCTACTGATGTGTAGTGCTATTCACTAGGCTGCACGGCTGGTAACTAATACCTCTGCTAGCAAATGGTAACTAATAACCTCTGCTAGCAAAAGAGGACTAGTGATTGTCCCATGATATCATGTTCAGGCACTTACTGCAGCTCTTCTCATAAGCACATATACATCTGTGTACACTCATAAACCCATCCACAGGTGGGGACATACAGTGTCCATCCCATGTAAGTGTGGACGCACGTATGCATTCCTGTGTCAAATGCAAGTGTACCTGTATGTGCTTGTATTCATTTGGGTAGACGCGTGTCCATGCTTTCAGCTTCCCAGGTTTAAATGACTCCCCGCACAATTATATGGTCCCTCTCTCCCTCCTGCATTGTGTTCTAGTAGACTCTGGAGTGAGGGATTTCAGAGGACAGCTCACTGACATCCAGCCAATGTCCCTGTCCTCTTATTCTCTGCTCACCCTCTCCTTCAGTGAGGGTCGCACTGATCTTTTAAATCAGGAGCTGATCATCTTTTTATTAAATCGAGACAACCACTCAGCTAAAAAGTCCCGAGGAGAGCATAAGACTGGATAATGACTCAGCACTCGTCTCTATGCACAGCATTTCATACAAATGTTCTCTGAACCATGGAGGCAACTGAATAGCTCCATTTCAATAACATTATTAATCTTGAGGTGTTGCATATTCATGCTACTATTCACACACATTCTTGATTTGCATTTTCAAAATTAAAATATATGACAGTCTTTGATCTCCAGCAACACATTTCCTGCCTCCCTTTTTTGGCTGGAATGTTTGAAAAATTATAAGACATTGGCATCTTTTTAAAATTATTTCAAGCTTTTCTATGAGAAGAAAAACTCCCAATGATAGAGAGCAAATGCCTGACAAGGAAATGTCATGTGTTCCCCTGGACCCCCTGTTTATGCTGCGGCTCACCCCATGTAGTGTCATTCTGGCTCCTCTAAGGTGCCTTTCCCTGGTAGGTGAGCCTAGAAAGAGTCTGGGAAGAAGAGCATGGGATGGGCTTGAGGTCCCTGGACTCTGTCTTTATCAGCATGTAATTCCCTTATGTGGTCTTGGGACCTGCCTGCAGAGACTACCATTCAGTATGCACCAAGTGTATATAATTACCAGCTAAGGGCTTTCCATGCCTTAGTTCATACAATCATTCCCACCACTCCATGAGCTAGCTCTCCCTCTTTTTTAAAACCCCCATTATATAGATGAGCAAACTGAGACTTAGAGTAATTAAATAACTTGCTCTGAGTCACAGAATTAATAACTAGAAGAGCTAGTGTTTAAACCCAAGTCTATTAACTAGAGAAAACAAGTTCTTTTTTTTTTTTATGTTTTCACATTATGTTTATTGAGGTAAAGTGGGTTTATTTTTTATTTATTTATTTTATACATTTTTTACATCATTTTTCATTTTTGCACAATAATCAAAACAAGGGGGGTGGGAATTGTATGGGGACTATAAGCAAGAGAAAACAAGTTCTTAACCACCATACTGTCTTTGGTCTTTACATTCATCATATCACTCTGAGCCTCCTAGTCTTCATATGGAAAGTGAGGAAATTAGATGAGATTAGAGAATTTAATCTCATATACTCTCAATTTTATGTCTAACTGTATTTAACTTGCAGTGCTCCCCCCACCCCACACTGAACTTCTCAATATGGGTATTTTACCCAGTGCTAAAAGGAAGATGAATCATTTTTAAAAGTATTCCAGTTGATTTTCTTTTTTTCTTTATTTTTTTTAAAGGTTTATTTATTTATTTATTTGTTTGTTTGTTTGTTTGTTTGTTTGTTTATGCAAGCACTGGGTATAGTCAGAAGCACGGGAGGGTGAGAGAATTCACCAGAGGGTGAACAGAGCAGGCAGACTGATGAAATACACTGCTGGGGGGAGCAGTGGGCACGGCAGGAGAGGTCTGCGCGCCATGTGGGACCCTCGCCGGTGGCCAGGGATCGAACCAGCGCTGCAGAGGCTGCGAGCAGCTTCACGGCCCAGCGCTCAACTGCTGCACCACTAGGGGAGGCCCAGTTGATTTTCTTTATCAGTTCAGAAGTAACACTAGACCCCTATCACAGTCTACTTACTGTTTTTGTGTCTTATCACATGGTATTCATAGCAGCCAGCAAAGGTCGCTGTTGTTACCCCCACTGTGTCAATCAGAGCCCTGTGGTTCAAAGAGAAGTTACTTACTCAAATACACTTGGTTACTAACTTATGGACTCCAGACCATTAGCAGTCAGCTAATGTTCAGACTCCAAGCTCATGATCCCTCCAGTACCCAGCATCTTTCTAGACTTGAAAATTCTTGTGTGTACACTCAACACGACCTGTGTGATTACCTATTGGGCACATGAAATTCAGCTGATCACTTTTCCGTGTGCACATATCAAATGAGCCAATCTTTGCCTGCAGAGAGCTGTCTCCAGTTGAGGAAAGATTACCAATGAGATCACATTGTGATGACTAGGCATCAGGAGAATGAGAGAGCTGTAGAAACACACACAAGAGATGGAGCCATCAGCTGGCAAATGGTCTGGGAAGACTTCCAGGCCAAGATGACACGGGAACTGCGTCTTCCAGGCTGATTAGAAGCAAACTAAGGAAGAAAGGTGGTCACAGTAACTACAAAGACAAACTGTAAAGGCTTGGTATAATCTGGAATGGAAAGGAGTCCTGTGTGGGTGACGTACAGGGCAGGAAGGCTGTGTGTAAAGGACAGGCATGGCAGGAGATGGGGTTGGAAATAAAGAATTGTGTCATGTAGGGCATCTTCTCCCACAATAAGGAATTCTGGCCTTATTCTGCGGCAGTGGGAAACTGTTAGAGACCTTTAGTCAGAGGGGAACGTGATTACTTCAATATCTCAAAGATCAATGGAGATGGTGTGGGGAGTGCATCAAATGCAGGAGCAGTCTAGAAGAGTCAAGGATTCAGATGCTTGATTGGTGTTCAAACAGTAATAGAAATGAGTGGCTCAGCCTGAGTGGAACTGTGGAGGGTCTCGCCCTGAAAGTGCACTCAGTCTTCCTGATTTTACTGGAGGAAGCAGCGATCCAGGTATTTTTTGTGAACTCTCCTGATTTTCACAGGTTGAAACTAATTGAAAAACTTTGAAACACTACACACACCAGTAAGAATAAATGTGTGGGTTGGTTCCTACACTTGGCTGCCATTTGCAACCTCGAGGCTAGAGACAGCATAACTGTTTACAAAGCGCTCTAGGGGCCTAGGCAGAGATGACGAGAGCTTGGACTCTGGCCAGGAGATGGAGAGGAGCACTGGGAATGTGAACATCCTTCAAAGGTAGAGATTAACGGATTTGGGAACAGATGGCTTCAAGAAGAGGGCAAAGGGGAGAGGAATAGATGAATGGCTTGAGGTTTATCTGTACATCCCCCACATTTTAAGACAATTCACCTTCTTGTTCTTGCCAAACCCTTTTTTCATAGCTAGTGAAATCTGGTTGAATTAGCTCAGGCCACTAATGGATTAATAATGTTGCACCCAGGGTTATGCATCCAGTGTAATTAGACATTTGCATGCCATGTCTAAATGAGCAGAGGTAGTTGTGGCAAGAAAACATTGCACGAAGCAGTTGTCTCAATTTGCTTGACAAATATGGGCACGACAAAGGCTTGGGGGAAGTACAGATTTCAGTCAAGTGTTGAAATAATGATCAATGAGACCTTTCATGTCAGAAGATCTGAGCTCTGAATCAGAGACCTAGAGGGCAAACACACCTGCTTGGCACCCACTCCTGACTGGTTTTACAGTTGCCTTTTCAGAAAGACCCATGTCAGTAGACTTTGGAGAGCAGGAGGGGGCCTATCAATGGAGTCATCTTTATGCTTGACTTGCTGGTGTTTATGGTTACTTAGAAGTTGCTCTTTGGCATAGGTTAAATGCTCCAAACCACTCAGCATCCTCCAGCAGTTTTCTGGCTAGACCTAGTTCCCTGATGGAGATTCAGAGATACACTCCCCAGCGAGGGAATGCAGACCCTCCATTTGGGTGATGAATATTTCATCTTTTACAGTTCGGTGACTCTTTCTAGGACGGTGCTCCACATGCGCTAATGAATTATTTAATACCAGTCTGCTAGTCTGATCTGTTCTAAAACTTCTTGCTGAAGGACATAATGGTGGATGCTGTGGTTGGACCCGACTGGTCCAGATGTAGTTACTGCTCGTGACAAGTGTGTCTGCTTTGGTTTGTGTGTGAAGGTCCCAGACAGACACCGAAGGGAATGTTACTGCCGAATCCGGCTCAGCAGGTGTGAGCATGGAGCCCAGCCACTATACCAAGAGTGGACAGCCTGCTCTGGAAGAACTCACTGGTGAGTACGGAACCCAGGAATTCTATGTTTGCCGGCATTAAAGCCTCCCATGTACCCGCCCGCTGGAAGGGCATGAACTGGCTTGATTTCAAGTTGCATTACTATGGCATTGATGGATGAGCTAAATATACTGTCCTTTCTTTCCTTAGGATTTTCCTCCTTCTCTTTCTTTCCTGTCCTCACCACCTATTCCTTCTTCTTCCCCAGAGTTGTGTGTAAGTCTCTTACCTGTTGGCAAATCGTGCTTTAAGATCGGTTCCCTTTTGTCCACTGAGGGGCTCGGTGCTGCTCTAATACTTAGCTTTGAATCACTTATTTATTCTTCAGATAAATTTGCTTTCCAACAAAAGCTGGGACTCAGTAATTTTTTTTTTTTTACCTTTTCTGTATGGAAGCACTGACTGAAATGTGTTTATGGCATCCTCCATTTATTGGAAAGATTACAATATGTTTTCTCTTTACCCAAAAAGTTGATGAATTTTGTTTAACTATAGCCCACACAATGATAAAGAATGGAGCATTATGTAAAGTCATAAAATCTGTAGTCGTCAGATAATTAATTCCACAAACATCTATTAATGTTATACTGTTAGATTCTAAATTTAAAGAAGAAAAACTAGAATCTGAGTTAGAATTCTACTGCAGGGCATTCTGAGTTACCACCTTCTCAGTCCCTGTTCCCTGTCCCCCAGCTCCATGTTCCAGCAACTTCTAAGGAAGCAAGTGGTAAGCTGCATAGGTAGCAGTGGCTGTGTTAATCACTCATATCTTACCACTTTCAGAGTCAGGTTAAAAATTGAATCCATTTAAAATCCATTTATTAGATTAAATAGCTATGACCACAACATTTTAATAGCCACGTTGTAGCTGGGGAATTGGTTTGCAGCCCATCTGATGGAATCTCTCCTGTCTTATCGTTAGCTCTGAGCATTCATTTCAGAAGGTCTGAGCGATTGAACTATTTCAGGTTCTGCTGGCTGGAAGAGATGGGGCAGTGTTTTCAAGCCATTTGTAAGTGATCTGCTGGTTCAGGACCCCACATTTGGGATTGATTTCATGTTTCCGTCTCTCCCATGTTTGCAGCTCCCTTGAATGTGAGGACGTGGATAGCACGGGTAAAGGGTGTACTAGCAGAGAAGGGTGTGGAGTTTAGGTGACTGCTCAGATCTCCACACACATTCCAATTTGTATTCTTACTTGTACACATCAAAAGAGCCAGGCCAGAACCTCAGAGCCCGCATGTATAGATATATGTCCTGTGGAGAGTGTGGATTCATGTCAGATGTGGAGTCTCAGCAAAAGTCATATGTGAAAAACAAAAGCAGCAGCCAGAGAACATTCCATGTCATACATTTTAGAGTGATGGATTGGAGCGGTGATCTTTCACTAATTTTTCTTTTCCTCCCTGTGTCTTCTTTGCATCAGGGAAAAGCCTGAGATGTTTTCAGTTGTTTGGCAAACAGAACTGTGCAGCCAACCTTGCCTAGTCAAGCTTTCTTTGGTGTTAAATCACATGGTATTGTTTGCTAATGGAAATTTCTTAAAGACAAGGATGGCCTGTCTTTACATTAAAGCAGTAGAGCTCACATGTGTGACTGTACTGTGAATTAGTTATGGAGACACTGCTTAGTAGCATGAGGTTGGATTTAACTTACCCATAGCCAGTCCATTGAAATGACAGTGAATGGTGGGTGTACTTAGAATTGGACGTTTATGAGACCATTTGATCAATTGCTTAGTTTTCCCACTTGCTTTTGCAAATATGTGGGTTTTCCCATGGTGCTTTGTCATTCACATAGTGTTAGAGTTGGGACATGTACCAGGCATTGTAGAGATAGAAGGAATCACCCAGACCCTTATTCTTTCTTTCTTCACTGATAAATTGTGTTTCCGTCTCTGTTTGACTGTTTCTTGTGACAGGTAGATTATTCCTTCAGAAAGAGCCCTTCCATATTTTGTTGGTTTTAACTGATAATGGACTTCTTTATACTTACATTTCTAATCCTTGGATAAAATCCAGCCTCCTGAAACCAACAGACAATTTCCATTCTTTTCCATGTAGCAGCATGTCCCTTAAGTTTCCCTCTTCCAAGTGGAAATTCCAAGTTCCTTCCATGTCCCTTTTGTAATACCCTGATATCCTCCAAACTCAGCCCTTCAGAATGGGGTGTTCTCTCCATCATGCCCAGTGGCTTGAGAGAGGGCTGACCTTGACAAATGCAAGAGAGCTGCAGGTGGACAGTGGAATAGCTTACTTGATTTTTGAGATCCCTGTATATGAGCTGGTCCCACTTCCACTGGAGCACATTTATGATTTAATTTTGTTTAAGCTAAGAGTTTTTTGGACAAATCTTACTTTCAGGCCATCTTCTGAGCAGGCAGAGTGGCAGTTCAGAACATTATCACCTAAGCAAGGCAAGTAGATTACTGATTTGCATTTGTACATTGCTATTGGAATCTACTGTATGGAGGACTATGAGAGGAGCTACCATTTCCCAGAGGGACCTCCAGAGGGGAACAGGAAAAGCAAATTCAGTGAGCTTTCATTCTGTGCCAGGCACATCATATGTGTCATCACATCTGATCCTCTATAACCTGTTGAGGCTAGGGATATTATTCCCATCTTACAGATGGCATGTGGAGAGAGTAAGTGGCTTGTCCAAGGTCAAATGACTAAGAAGCAACAATCCTTTATTTGATGGAATGCAAAGTCCACACTTTTTCTCCAACTTTACTCAGACCATATATCTTTTGGCCAATAAACAGATTTTTAAAGCTGCCTGTTTTCGGTTCTGTTTGTGCTTTTTCTGTGAGGATTACCAAAAGTGACACTGAGATGCAGTCCCATCTCAAATAATTTGATTTTCTAAGGGAGAGTTCACACAGGCAAATGGTCATTAATAGAGACATGAATGAATATGATTATGATACTTTGTGTCTGATTAATCAACTTGACCTGGTTTCATAATAAATGTTCACTGCAGGACCTAGAGCTGTCCAAAGCATCAGTACCTTTTTGGCAGCTGATATAGGTAAAATTTGGCCACACTGGCAGTAATAGGTATTTAATTGATAGCCTGAGAGATAGATGCAATTACATTATTCCAAGGCCATTAGGCGAAGGTAAAGCAGACATTCATCTTGGCTTTTGTTTAAAAACACATACATACATGTACATATTTTAAAGAATTGGGTGGGAAATGTAAAGTTTGACCACTTTTCAGATAAGAGAAAAATGCCTTCCAAATTTCTCTTGCTTGGAAGAGGGAGAAAATTGAAAACACTTGCATTTTCAAGGATAGTTTGTCACAGCAAATTTCCTCCATAAAATCACATATCTATTATTTACTCTAGCATCCAGGCCACCACCATGTGGACAATAACCTAAGGAACTTGGTATCTGTATAAGCAGGAATTTTAATTCTGTGGCATTTCTTAGCTGCCTGTTAATGACAGATGCTGAAAGTTCTACCTAGTGTCTAACTTACATCCCTCTGACTGCTGCCCGTGTGTACTGTGTGCCCTAAGATTGCTTTTAAATTGTTGCTCAGCACTTGAAATGGTCACAGATTTTTTTTAAAAGATTTTATTGTTGCATGCATGCAAGAACTGGGGTGCAGGCCAGAGGTGCAGGGGTAGGGGGTCTGAGGATTCACCAGAGATAGAGTGGGGAGCAGAACAGGCAGACTGACTGAAATACACTGCCAAGGGGAGCAGCAGGTTACATAGGAGGGGTCTGCTGCGTCATGTGGGTCACCTCCCTGGCCTGGGATCAAACTCATGCTGCAGTGGCTGCAGATAGCTTCATAGTGCTGCATCTTAACCCCTGGTGCCACTAGGGAGGCCCCCTGGTCACAGATTTTTAAAGCCGCTTGTTTGCGGTTCTTCTGTCTTAGCACTCCCTGAAAGTTCGCGGAGGGGAAAATGTTTGATTCCTTTATTCAGGGTTGTCCTTCCCCCATGTGATCCCAAGTGAAACAGAATAGTTAGAGAACCTAAAACAAGGCTACCCAAATCTTCTAGCTTGTGTGTGATCTATTTCTCCTGGCACAGTTGTGCCAGCTACACATCTGCCGGGTATTTTGTGAAAATCTTACCTGGATGATGGAAGTCCCTCACCCCCAAAGAGGAGCCCCACACTTCAGGATGGCTCCCTGCTCTTCACAAGCTGGCATGTGTTTGAGTGCTGGTAGTGGGTACTATGAAGAGCTACTTCTGGGCTTTCTGCCAGCTAGTCCCTGCTACTGTCCTTTGAGGCCAATACTATCCTCCTTTTAGGACAATGAAATCTGAAGGATAGAGAAGGTCAGCACCTTCTCTATGACCAAACAGCCAGGGAGTAAAGGAACCAGAATTTGAGTTGATATAATGAACCTAAAGAAAGATGAACCTCTCTCTGTAGAAATATGATTAATAAGTGTCCATCTTTTACTCATTGCCAATTTCATTGTAAAATCAAGCTGGTTGACAATAGCATATGTCAGCAGTCAGCAAGAAAATAAAATGCCTCACCCACTTTTATGTGGTCAGACCTAATCTGCTTGCATCTCTATTGGAGACAGTGTGAAATTTGTTTCAGTGCTTTATTTCTCCCCCTAGGAGAGGCCTGGGGGGAGAAAAAGACTTCACTTTGGAATAACACCTTCTTTTGGGGATCCATCCATCATCCATCCATCCATCCATCCATCCATCCATCCATCCATCATCACTCTGTCTGATGATGGATCTCATCATTCACACATTTATCTGTTTGTTCTCAAATCCTTTCTAAGCACCTGCAGTGGACCAGCACTGAGCCTGGTGTGTACTGCTGTGAAACTCACAATCAGAGAATTTAAACAGCCTTCACCATCTTTCCAGGGGAAGATCCCGAAGCTCGGAGACTGCGGACAGTGAAGAACATTGCTGATCTGCGTCAGAATTTGGAGGAGACCATGTGCAGTTTACGGGGAACTCAGGTCACACACAGGTAGGTGCAACGCGAATGACTTGGTGGAACTAGCTCGCAGATTGATTTTTACTCCGTTTCTCTTGTGTTTATTCTGCCACTAGTAAAGTGATTTGGTTAATGATAGAATGAATAACCTTGATCTTCAGATGTACTACAGCTCACAAGGAATGCCATACAGTGTGCAGAAGTGTCAGGAGCAAAAATTAGTATGGAGAGATCCCTCCCCAAAGCAGGTTGCGAAATCCACTTGACAGAGAACACTGTAGGCCAGATCCATATAAATTTCACTTTGCCTGCATTTTCTAAAAGTAGATTGTGCTGTTGAAATAAGCAGGTGAACTATATTTGACCTGCGTGTGATAAAGCGAATAACTTGAATTCCTACCCGGTCTTCTGGTACACTGTAATGTTGTTAGTCATGCACGTGTGTGAAACGCGTAAGCAAATATTTATAAAGACTTATGATCACGTTTAAACTTTGATTGAATTGGGTGAAATCTAGAATTACATGGGAAAGACTTGTCAGGTTGTTTTCACTGCTGCATGAGAAGTCGAGGAGGATGCAAACTCGGGACACCCTCCGTGATTTTGGCAGAACTGAGTTTTACGGTCCTCGTTGGGCTTTGATCATCAAGGCAGAGGCCTGGTTACCCCCACTGAACTCCCACGGAGTCTCTTTGCTTCTCAAATTTCAGTCTCTTTGATAAATGAGTATAGCGAGAAGACCACAGGCTTTCCCCACTGCCAAGCAGCTCTGGCAGATCGGGGTAACCACTGTGGGTTCTCTCTTAAGCAAAACCAGGGCTGGAACCTTAGAGGTCCCAGTAGGGGGAAAGCAAAGTCACTTGTAGAATGTGAGAGAAATAAAAACAGCTGAGCCACCAAATTGGTTCTTCCAGAGACGAGTAAACATTGGAGGTGTGCCGTGGTGCGCCTCTCAACCTTTAGATATTTGAATGGCGGGGAGCCAGAAGCTGCACCCTGAGACTGATTAGACCTGAAGCATCCCTGTTTCCACCCTCATTGCTGAAATTGACTTGATGTGGGTTACAGCAGTTTGATGAATTTCTTGGCTTGAAGTAGGGTGGCAATCATGACAGGGAACTGTGTCTATGGTTTCTTCTGTAGGAAACACTTAGCTCAGTTAAGAAACCCCAGGGCAGCTCCAAAGAGGTGCAGATGGGCTCTTCCCTGTGCCACAAGGACCTGCCAGCCAGAACAGTGGACAGCAAAAGAGTCTTCCTGATGACTGGGGACAAGTTCAGTCTCTACATGTTCAGACCCATGTAATTGGTTTATTATGGATCTCAAGCCTAGGCATTTACTATTCCTCTTGGGCTTTTTGCCCCCCAACTTCCCAGCTTCACTTTTTATCTTGAATGAAGTTGTTACATGGGAAGAGCAAAGTTTGGGACATGGACTTTAGAGAGTTAAAAAACCAGGGTTCTGCCTGTGTGCTTGGTCAGGAAGGAGCCAAGGAGGTGAAATGTGATGTCAGGAGCTCTGGAGTGGATGATGCATTCTGCCCCTAGAAAAGGGGAGCTGCAGGGAGGTTGCTTTTGAGAACAATCTGGCAGGTAGCTCCTCTGTGACTCGTGGTCACCAGTTCAGAATTTTCTATGTCTTTCTGGTTTGGGAAGAAGATCCCAATAGTTAAGGTCATTTGATTAGAATGATCACTAGTGGGTGTCTTGTTCCTTGATTTAGGGGGCTAGGTCTCCCCGGGGCTTTTCAGAAAGTTAGATAGTGGTGCTCGATTCCGCCCCCCCCTCATGCCCCAGTTTTATTGAGAAATAATTAACATCCATCACTGTATACACTCAAGGCATATGGCCTGATGGTTTGATTTACATCTTCTATGCAGTGGATACAACGGGTACAGTGGATATTCATCTTCTTGTAGAGATACAATTCAGAAGAAAAAAGGAAAAATTTTTCTCCTGATTAGACCCCGAAGGATGGACTCTGTCTCAACACTTTCCCTACACATGCTGGAGCGATGTCAGCTGTGTCGTCATCTGTACATTACAACCCTGGCTTATTTATCCCCTCTTTTTATTTTTAACAGGAAATACCCTGGGTGGCACATGGGACCCTGTGGTTTGATCATAACTTGTGAAAGGGAAATACTTCATAATTCTAAAAACAATTAAGAGCATATAAGCCCAGGATGCCAGGCACACTGGGGGTCTAACTCAAGGTTGCTTTGATGATTTTAGCACATTGGAAACAACATTTGACACCAGTGTCACCACGGAGATCAGCGGGCGCAGTATCCTCAGCCTGACCGGAAGGCCCACTCCTCTGTCCTGGAGACTTGGCCAGTCCAGCCCTCGGCTCCAAGCGGGAGATGCCCCGTCTCTGGGCAACGGGTACCCGCCACGCGCCAACGCCAGCCGCTTCATCAACACTGAGTCAGGCCGCTACGTGTATTCGGCCCCACTGAGGAGGCAGCTGGCCTCCAGGGGCAACAGCGTCTGCCACGTAGATGTCTCAGACAAGACAGGGGATGAGATGGATCTGGAAAGCATCAGCATGGATGCCCCTGGCTACATGAGCGACGGGGATGTTCTGAGCAAGAACATCCGGACAGATGACATCACAAGCGGGTAAGTGCCTGGAATTCTAGCTCTTCGCAGAGCTTTGGCACCAGGTTTCCCCTTCACATGTGTGCATGCGTGGAGGGGCTCAGCTCTACAATGTCTTGGGAGCCACAGACCAGGTGTAGCCACTAACTTGCTGGGTGGCTGTCGCAAGGCCCCACTGGCTGCTGGAGGGACACTTGGAAACAAATCATGTTGTTAACCCCACAAACCAAACATATCACTTAGGATGGATTGCAGACTCTTAGCATGGCCTACCTGGCCCCTGGGGATGTGGCTTTACTTGCCTCTCCCTTCTCATAGCTCTCTACTCGTCTTGCTTCCTCTGCTGCATGTGATCATTCTGTTTCTCAGCCCCTTGGAGCGCTTTCCTGCCCCTGGGCCTTGGCACTTTCTGTTTCTCGACTGGGTTCTATTACCCAGATCTTTGCATGGCTGGTTCCTTCTTGATATTCAATGGAAGCCTCTTTGTGGGACCTTTCCTGACCATTTCCTCCTCTCTTGAGCTCCTGGTCATTCCTGTCCTCCCATCACCCCGTCTTGTATTAGCTAACCCTTGAGAGCTATACCGATTAGAAATTATCCTGATTATGGCTTCACATTTATTGTCTCCCTTGCCCCTTTTGCTTGCAACAAGTGCCAGGAAGCCATGAACATTGCCTGACTTGTTTACTGCTAAAACACCAGGGCATTGTGCATATTGGGAGCTTTTAGAGATTGCTGAACCAGTGAATATGACTGGGCATGAAGAACAAACCCACCCTCCCCATTTCTCTGCTTGTTCACACTAGTTGAAGGGGTTGATAAGGTGATGTCTCAGACCTGCTGTGATTATATGTAACAAGAGGCTGGCTTCTTGTTTTTAACTCCTCTTCTGAATCATGGTGTGACCTAAAAGTCACTGCCTGAGATGTCTTCATTTGTTAACCTGACATGCCCAGAAATTCTCCAAGATCTTTTCCTCTTCTAACATTCTAGCAATCAAAATTAGGCATGATAAAATCTGGCCATAATAATCATGCCGCTCATTTCCATGAACACAGTGATTTGGAACCCCACACATGGGTCAGCATTTTCTTAACTTTAATAATATTGACTGTTCCTACTATGTGTTCCTACATCATGCTTGGTTCTTTACTATACAAAAACAGTTGTTTTATTTTCACAACAACTCTTTGAAGAAGATGATATCATAGTCTGCATTTTATGGATGAGTAAACTGAGGCCCAGGAAGGTTACATAACTTACCCAAAGTCCTAGAACAGTAAGAAGCAACGCCTAGGACTAATAGCTCCAGAGCCCTGCTCCTTAACAACCATATCTTACCACCTTACTCAACATTTTGTTGCTGCTTGGAAATATCAGAACTGGAGTTTATTTCAAAACCAATTTACTCTTGCTTTGCTTTACCTATCTGATTAGAAATGTTCTTTTATTTAATTAAAACTTTATACATAGAGGTGATTTGGTCTTCCGCCTGTCACTTTTAAAACCATCTTGGATAGTAGAATCTTATACTGTAGTTGCCACCAAACCCTTATAAATACATTACTGCTGTATGGATTGGCTGGGAAAGTTAATAAATTTACAATGACCTGATTAGCTTAGAGCATCATTTGTGTTTCTAGTTTTGCATAAACATCAAAAACAATGTACAACTATTACTAAAATTAAATTGCATGTAACCAAATCTTTTTATTATTTAGAAGACTTTTGGTGTCCAGCATGGTCTCGAAGTTATCGTGATCAGTTTCCACTCCATTTTCATTATCAATTTCCAAAGGCCAAACATTTCTTGGTCATTTTAAGATTTTTTTTTTATTGCATCCTGTACTACAGAGTTTATTTTATTGTCCAGTCCATTTTTTAATCCTCAGTGGCTGGTCAGTTTATTTATGTTGCTGTAGTATTGACAACTTCCACAAGGTGGAGACATGGAAACACTCTAAACTAAATACTTGAGTTGTTTCTGGTTTCTTTAGTTACTCAATCCAGAGCTGTTACCCCTGCTGCAAAGCCTAGATGTTTACATTCTAATCCTAGCTTTGGAAAACTTACCTTGTTAGCAAGTGAGATAGTGCTTAGAGCAAGTGTAGATAAAACTGTAGAAATGTAAGCAAGAAACCCATTTATTGAAATTGGAGAATCCATTTCTGTTTTTTCTCCCCTGTTCCTTTTAATGTAGAAAATAACCTTCAGAATGAGGAGAGACAGCCCAAATGTCATTTAATGATCCTGCTAGTTGTGATGTTCTAGAAAACTGGCTAAACATGACCCTACTCTATGGAAATACTTGCAAGTTTTTGCTTTGAGGCCAAGTTAGCAGTTTGCCTTTACATGCTGAGTTCACTGCAAGTTACTTACTATTTTTGTACCCATTTCTTTTTCCTCTTATAAACATGGCTAGGTTATAGATATTGAAAGACTGATGATTCATTCTCATTCTGTACTTCAGAACTGGCTGAGTAAGTTTTATTGCTGAAGCAATTGATGTAGTGAAAAGAAAACAGACTGAGCTACCAGACAGAATTTAAACCCTGCTCTGCCATACGTGAGCTCTGTATCATTTAACCTCCCTAAGCCTGGAAGCATTGCAATCATAGGATTTTGGACCTCTGTGATTTAATTTCTCTTGGAGGTAATATCTGATTAATGGCAAGTATCTGATAAAGACCCAGAGTTTCAGACAAGACCTAGATGTCTTATTAACTCAAACACCTCAGTTCTTGGAAACAGTGAAATGATTCAAGCTTTCATCCAGTTGTTTGTTTGACAGAGTGGGAACAGCCTTGATGTATGAGTAATACATACATCAGAAGGTGGCGCTCAGAGGAAAGTGCATATAAAAATTTGTAGCAAGTTTATTTAGAAAGTCCACTGTAGAAGTAAATCCTAGTTTTTGAAAACCTGTGACATTTGTTTTTAAAATGACATTGGACCTCAACTTGGTATGCAGCTATTTTTTCATGTTTCTAGTTCATTGTCTTCATGGAATATGTGTGTAAGTGCACCTATGGAATTTAGCTGAGCACCTGATGCCATGGGTGTGTGTGTGTGTGTGTGTGTGCACGTAGTATATACCAGGCATGTCTAAATACCTACAAGTTGTCACTTGACCTGTCATTTCCTTTTATTAGGTTGATAAATTCGACTTTGACTAGAGTTAGTGGAACAGAAATTAAAATCACAGATGAAGATATCTCTTACTAAGTTTTGATCTGTCAAGTCAATCCATCAACTGAATAAAATTAAAGGGTGCCATATGGCACAGAATAAAATTAAAGGGACAGACTTAGGACCCGTATGTTTGAGAAGATGATTATTTTTTCCTTTTTATGGGAGGCACTGAGTTGTATAATCTTCCAAAATGTTGATATGTACCCCTACCTGGGGAAAAAAATGACCATTTAAATTTAACATCAGAAATTTATTTCTCTAAAACCTCTGAATGCTTTCCATTGCCTGTGGGAACATGCCTCAACTTCTTAAGTGAATGTAGCAGGTTCTTTTTTTTTTTTTTTTTTTTTTTTTTTTATAGAGGCATGTTTTATTTATTTATTTTATTTGTTTGTTTGTTTTGTTTATACATGCACTGGGTACAGTCAGAAGCGCGGGAGGGTGAGAGAATTCACCAGAGCCAGAGTGGGGAGCAGAGCAGGCAGAAGGACTGAAGAACAGTGCTGAGGGGAGCAGCGGGCGGCAGGAGAGGTCTGCGCGCCATGTGGGACCCTCCTCTGGTGGCCGGGGAGCAGCCGGGGATCGAACCGGTGCCGCAGAGGCCGCGGGCAGCTTCGCAACCCAGCGCTCAACCGCTGCGCCACCGGGGAGGCCCTGTAGCAGGTTCTTTATGGTCTTTGCCTCCCTTACCTTCCCTGTCTTTCCTGGCCTCTTCGCCACTTGCCTATTCCACATCCCGCTGTCCTAGCCTCCCTGCCTTTCCTTGCCCAGACTGTTTCCAATGACAAAGCTCTGTGCTGTCTCCCAGCAGTGCCTTTCCCCTCAAGCCCAACTGACTGATGTTAAAAACAAAACAACAACAACCAAAAAAACACCTCCACTGTGATGCCCTTCGGGACGTCCCCCGGAGTTAAGTCTGTCTCACGTGTTTCTGGTGGCCCTGCTTCACACCCAGCCCAATGCATGAGCCTCTCATTTTGCTTGGGAAGGATGTGAGAGGGATTGGATGGTGTTATGGAAAGAGTATAGCCTTATCCTCCCCGGTGGCACAGTGGTTGAGCGCCGGGTTGCAAGGCTGCCTGCAGCCTCAGCAGTGCCAGTTCGATCCCCAGATGCCGGGTGAGGGTCCCACATGGCGCGCAGACCTCTCCTGCCTCCCGCTGCTCCCCTCAGCAGTGTATTTCGTCACTCTGCCTGTTCTGCTCCCCGCTCTGGCTCTGGTGAATTCTCTCACCCTCCCGCACTTCTGACTGTACCGAGTGCTTATATAAATAAATAAATAAATCTAAAAATAAATAAAAATAAAAAAGACACAAAAATAGTAATTATGAAAAAAAAAGGAAAGAGTATAGCCTTAAGAGGCAGAGAGATTTCAGATTTCATTCTGGCTTTGCCAAATAAATGAGAAGTTCTTTTATTTTTACTTTTATTTTTTTCATTTTTTATGTAGAAGAGCTGGGTGTAGAGGTGCTGGGGGTGAGAGGATTCACCAGAGACAGAGTGGGGAGCAGAACAGGTGGATTGAAATATACTGCTGAGGGGAGCAGCGGGCAAGACAGGAGAGGCCTGCTGCGCCATATGTGGGCTAGTTCCCCAACTGAGGATTGAGCTTCGGCCGTATTGGTGGTAGTGCTGAGTCTTAACCTCTAGGCCACCAGGGAGGCTCTGAATGAGAAGCTCTTAACCTTTGGAAATTAGAGCTTGCACAGCACCTGGCAAAGAGTCTGGGATGCTCAAGAAATGTGCACTGTTTCCTTTACCAAACAAGAGGCTACTAGCAAACAGATATTGTGCATTATTTTCCTAAACTCAGAGACTAGCACAAGTAG